AATGAATTTATCTTCTCAACTCTCCTGTGAGGAAGGGTAGTGCAATTCTCCCCAATTTACGGGTAGAGAACTGAGGCACAGAGAGATTAAAGCCATGCCCACTAATTCTGGATGCCCAATTTGAGATGCCACAGGCTTGATTTTTTCAAGTGCTCAGCATTTTTCTAGCGCTTTCTATGTTCAGAGCAGAGCTCCCTCAGTTCAGTTGTGACTGCTCAAAACTTTTGCAAATCTGGCCCCAGGTGTTCTCAAGTTAGCCTCCAAAAAATGAGGCAGTGGCCACCTGTGAAAATGTTGGTTTATGCGGACTTGCTCAGCATTCCATAGGAACTCTGTGGCAGAGGCATTGATAGAATCCAAGTCTCCAGGGCAGCATTCAACTGCTTTAACCATGAGACCATCCTTTCTCTTCCTGCAATCCTGTATCTCATTCACTACGCACCTTTCGAATTCTGCAATACATGAGGCAGGGGTCCTACCGTTCATTGTCTGTGTCTTCGCTACATAACACTTGGTCCTTCCCAGAGTGTGTCAGCCCTGTGCACTGAAGGAGGCCAGAATGCTGCAGAAAAAGTAGCATGTAATCATGTAATTAAACATTGCGTCATAACACATGCATGCAAGGGAGCTGAATTAATGTTGCATGGAAGGCCTCCATTATGGCATTTCCTAACTTTGGAGTACTTCGCTTTGTGATCTTAAATGTTCTTTAAATGTCATTTTACATTTGTTATGTCCTAAGTTTTGTCAAAAGCCATCTGAAAAAAATGGAAATTGTATCACGTGGAAACAAACTGACATCAGCATGGGGCATCAGTAGGACTATTAGAGCCACAGCTTAGACCTCTGCCACTTAAGCTAACAGAGTAAGGGACAGTGGCAGTTTAGCCTCTACTTGGGCCAGCCATTAAAGGCGGTTGGGACACACTCTGTGCCAGTGGGTTCCACAGCTATTTGCTAGACAGAAGAGGAATGTTGTGACTGAGAAGCCTGGGTTCCATTCCAGCTTCTGCAAGGAAGTGCGCTTTAAAGTTAGAAATCTTTCTGCTCCTGTCCCCATTGACTTCCGCTCCTGTCTTCCGGAGCCCCTACTGTCTTTGTTCCTACTTCAATCTCTACTGGTTCTGCTCTTGTTCCTTCTCTCCAGCCCCTGTCCCCGCACCATTCTACCCAATCCTATTTCCCCTGTCTCTTGCTCCAGCTCCTGTCTCCCCTCATCTTTCTACATTTGAATCAGAGGGCTTCCTCCTTCTCCTCCACGCCGACTAGGTGCCAGCAGGAGGGCACTGGGAACACAGGAGACACAGCCTCCCGGCTCTCAGTACCATGCCCAGAATCACAGTGGCCCCTTGCAGCAGGGAGGAACCACTTCTGGGAAACTCATGCTCAGCCCTGGAGTGCAGCATGGTTGGTCACTCTGTGGGGATGGTGCATGATTAGTCCCTTTGGCACCCAGGAGCTGTGTGGGGATGGAGCACACCAGTACAGAAGAAATTTCCAGAGAATTTAGCTGGCAGCTTCTAATGAACCTTTACTGAACAAGTGAGAGCTGAAGAGGATATAATTTTGTAACATGGAAAAAACAGTCTGTTTTTCTAGCCTTGCTCTTGGACATGGTTGAACCATTTTAGCTGAAACTTAAAACAAACAATGATAAAAAAAGGCAGACTCCCCAGCATGGGAAATGTCAGTCCAAATGGTTGGATTGACAGCTAGAGACAACTGAAATCACTTATAATGAAAAGCTTTAGGCAAGTTAACTATCATGTGTGACTGTTGTGAGGTGGTGTGGTACCCCACAGCCCCACAGAGGGATGAGCCTCCTCAATGTGGGCAGAGCCAGTGGTTTCTGCGCCCACCCCCAGAGGTCATGGCGCAGGACAGGAAATATAAAAGTCCAACTGCAGAGCTCACTTGGACCACAGCCGTCGGAGAGGCCAGATGCCTGTGGCCTAGCTCCGGGTTGGGAGATGCCGGCAGGCCGCAGCCGACCCGAGGACTGGCCGCGC